TGGCACTCCCACTCCCTGTAATCTGAGTCAGGCAGGACGGTTCCAGGCCACGTGGGCGCGAGTGAGTCAACTTTTTTCAATGATACTTAGTCAGTACTCGCTTGATAGCAGTGCTTGGAGTTTGTGGGCGGTCTGGCAGGCATTGTGTCTGAAACGGCCAATCCAGTCACCCTTGTCGGTGCCTAAAATAGTTGTCACTGTGCGGCTGCTAGGTGGGCTCAACCAAGCGTCCAAAGGGAGAGCGGAGGATTGGATCCCTTTAGCGATCGTCAAACGATGCTTCCAACATTATTGAGCAAGGGAATCAGTCACCTGGGAAGGACTAGGCCCACCAACAATTGTGACGACAGCGAATATAACTGTCGCTCGTGGGGCCACCTGAGTGCGTGTAAATCGCTCTCTTCGGCCTAACGGGCATGTCAGCAAACAGATAAGTTCGTAGAAATTGTGTAAAATAAAAATGTAACGGGGGTAAGTTGGAATTTGTGCCACTTGCTCGGGCGAGGACATTTAAGTAAATTTTAATATCACCGCCAACACCCATTGGACCAACGGCGAGCGCTTGCATATCGGGGGGGGTGGTGTTCGCTGACGCCGGACAACGTTTAGAGGTATAGCTAACCCTAACAAGAATAACGTCAAAAGAGTAAGAATGCTGAAAGCTTTTGAAAATCTACCCTACTTAAACTTTGTAAGCAATCCGTTATACACGAGGTTCATTTGAAAAGCTATTTTTCTGCATGCATTGACTCAAGAGGTGATTGCATATGGTGGCCTTCCGAGGACCCCTCTTTCAGTCCAATATATCATCCAACCCCTACTGGATCAACACTCGACGTATAACAAGTTAAAAAATATGGGAAAATTCAACCTACTTAAGAGTTGCAGGTGGATCGTTATAATACCTAAGTACCCTTTCGAGACCCCAGTAGGTACTCTCTCCCAATGTTTGCACCTTCTTCTTACCTGCTTTCTGGAATTCTCATATTAACTTCTGATGACTTACGTCTGTCGTCTGCTGCACAGTCATCGCTTGTTCCTGTTACTCCAATGCGATCCCTCACCTGACGGAGACAATGGTCGCGGCTGAAAAGACGTCATATGGAAAGGAAATTGGATCAAACTTTAAAAGGGTCTCCTGTAATGCTGTCGTGCTACAGCAGTCAACGCCGCTATGATAGCCCACACGGTAGAATAATCAAGTTAGCTATGGACCTATAGACTACTGCAATTTTGCGCGTTCCCTAATATCAATGCATTATATGGCGCATGTGTCGTATGTCATAGTTTTTTTCTGTGGAAAGTAGCAAGCTGCCGGGCGTACAGAATGGAATAGAACGAGCTGCCAATTTCACAAGTGACTGCAGACTGCCGACAATGGATCATTTTTCAATGGCAGCGGCACAAAGGTATTTTGTCTTCGCTGTGACTGTCCACACTCAATGACTTTTAACCGCTGGACCGGACGCACTCACACGTGAGCCCACGCATTTGCCCAACTAGTCGCAGTTCCTCAAGGGCCACTTACGTGCGTAACAGGGCAGATGACCTTATTCCAACGCGCCCAATCAGGCCACAAGTGGACGCGCTTGACAATCACTTGTTAGCTGGGGAGTCGTTTACAGACCTGCTGAATGGCTACTGCTCCATCTCCTTATTCTCACTCATAAGCGTGCAGTTCATGGAGAACTACAGTTACCAGAGGCGGAGTCGTTTGCAGATGGCCGGCGTGCGGAGAGTCTGCGCTTAAACATGCTACCACATACCCAGCTATGGAATATCTTACAGTTTCACATCCAAAATAACATTTTCCCTGCAGTGAGTTGGCTGCCGTGGTAAACATGGATAAGGAAGAACACTTATTAAGCATCAGATCAATTGGTTGTTTTCCTGAGCTTTCGCACTCTTAAAGGGTCAATCTTCAGAGATAGGAAGCAGCAAACAAAAGGAGAGTAATTATAGTGGCTTTAGGCCAATCAACTCTCAGTAGTCATTAGGGCATCAAGGGCCAAGATACATCAAACAAAAGAGGATGGCAGTGCGTTGGCAGTTATTGTGGTACACGCTAATCAA